GCACAGCCTGTGCTGTAAACGCTCTGAGAACAGGTGTTTCCAGTGCTGTCCGGAGGTGGGTGTTTGCAAAACACTGCTCACTCCAGCGGGGCATTCCTTCCTGCCACGTATTTCACGTTCTAGGTAACAGTTTGGCCATCGTTACGTGAAAAGGGGTTCGGGTGGTCACTCGGGACTCAAAGGGACAAAGGAAGACGATCATGCTGGATGTCAGGATCCACTCCAGGCGGCTCAAGGAAGGGGGGGCGCAGAGGGAAGTTTGGCCCCTCTTTAACCACCTGCACAGGGGCCGGGAGAGGGAGGGCACAGCTGCACAGGGGCCGGGAGAGGGAGGGCACAGCTGCACAGGGGCCGGGAGAGGGAGGGCACAGCTGCACAGGGGCCGGGAGAGGGAGGGCACAGCTGCACAGGGGCCGGGAGAGGGAGGGCACAGCTGCACAGGGGCCGGGAGAGGGAGGGCACAGCTGCACAGGGGCCGGGAGAGGGAGGGCACAGCTGCACAGGGGCCGGGAGAGGGAGGGCACAGCTGCACAGGGGCCGGGAGAGGGAGGGCACAGCTGCACAGGGGCCGGGAGAGGGAGGGCACAGCTGCACAGGGGCCGGGAGAGGGAGGGCACAGCTGCACAGGGGCCGGGAGAGGGAGGGCACAGCTGCACAGGGGCCGGGAGAGGGAGGGCACAGCTGCACAGGGGCCGGGAGAGGGAGGGCACAGCTGCACAGGGGCCGGGAGGGGAGGGCACACCTGCACAGCTGGGGCTTAGGGTTCTGAGGGCCGGTGCCTCTGATAGCGGGGCTTTGGTTTTGCTGTGAGGAGACTGACCATTTCAGCCAGAAGTGAATCCTCTGTAGGTCGGGGAGCGATGGAGGCGCCCCACCCCGGCCTTTTCCCCTATTGGGCCCTATGCGTCTTCAGAGCTCTCAGCCCTTCGTCTCAGTACATACTGAGCAGATATTTAAGAAGCAGCGGTGAGCTCAGTGTCAGGCTGTCGTCCTGTCTCCGCATGCCCTGGGCACGGCTGCTGCGTTGGCCGTGTTGCCTCTGACTTCCCAGGGGAGCAGGAGGGACTGGGCCCCGCCACAGACACACAGTGTCCCCGCGGGTCACAGATGCCCCCCCCTTCCTGGAGGGATTGGTACCCACACCCAGAGCCCGGTGGGGGGTGGCCGGCGGGGCTGGGCCTCCTCGCCCTCCAGTGCAGTGAGCACAGCTCAGGCTCCACCGGGCCCTGCACTGCTGAGCTCCTGGACGGTTGCCCCCCCCCCCCCCCCCCCCCCCCCCCCCCCCGAAATTCCGGAAAAGCCAAGGTACCTGCCCGCAGAGGCAGCGCTGCAAACATCTTTCCCTTGGGCCAGTTCAGTTCCAACTAGCAACTAGAGTAATAATTACAACGCATGTTTACAGATTTTAACGAATGAATCCCTTGGCGTCCTCCGTTTTGACGGGAGCACCTTCTACCCACCTCATACATCAGGAGAACGGGGGGCCATGTGGTCCGGCTGGGCTGGGTGGTCGCTGGTGTCGGCAGGAGAGCGGAGACCTGGGCGTGCACAGTCCTGGGCGGCTGGGCCTGCGTCCAGATGGCTGGGCCTCGCACCCCCTAGGAAGGTAACACATGGCAGTTGAGGTGGACCAGACCCTAACCTACGAGGAGCAGTTGGCTCTGGCGAGGAGGGCGGTCCAGGGCCCAGCCTGGGCCTGTTTCTCTGGGAGAGACGGGCTTGGCCAGAAGGAAAACCCTTTGCCTGGGACCGTTTGGCCCCTCTTTAATCACCAGCTAAAACAGAATATTCCGCAGAGAGAACGCCTCTTGAAAGAAAACCCCAAGGGGCTGGGCAGGTGTCATCTTTCCCTTTTGACTCCCAGGGTCTGCAGCCATATATATCTATCTATAGTAATAAAAGGGTAATATGCTAATTAGACCGGACATCTTCCAGACGACATTCCGGACAAAGCCATGATGGTGGGGGCCGAGACAGAGGTGGTTAGGGG